GGGGGGGGGGGGGGGGGGGGGGCATCCACCATGGTTTTTGTGTTGGAGCAGATCTGATGTTTTTTGCGGGTGTAGTATGGCGTTATGTAGTGTTGCTCGCAGCAGGTTGTTTGCAGGTTGGGGGTACGCAAGACCGCACACGCGCAATCCCAACAGCCTTTTGTGTACGTTATGTTGTTGTTTGCAGCGCAGGCCCTGCGCGGTCCGGACACAACCCTGTACCCGCCACCCTGTTCTTCGTTGCGTATACAGCCTTGTCTCTTGCAGTGGTTCAGGCTTAGTAGTAGCAGCGGCAGCGATCGCCCTGTGCCAGATGATGAAGGCATAGTGCGGTGACTGCTTGGTGCAGGTGTGCATGATGTGTTGACGAGAGAGTCGCGCACACCCCACGTCGCACAGGGGGTTGGCCCCGTGGTGTATAAGGAAGATCGAACTGGCTGTCGTCGCGCGTGCATGTCCCTGTCGAACTGAAGCATGATGCCGCTACAACAATTCCGTGCTTTTTTCGTCACTGCTCTCGCGGCGCGAAAACAGAAAGTTTTCTCACGCCGCGGTAGCAGCACCTGTGTTTTGGGGGTCTAGCCGCCTGCCCTTCTCCCCCTGCCCCTTCCCTCCCTCGCTGCCTGCTCGGTGTGAAGGTAGGCATCATCCTTATTTCGTCTCCACCTACGCCGCCTGCTTGCTTGCTTCCCTTCCTCACTCCCTGCCCTCTTGCCTGCTACTTGCCTCTCTGCCGTCCGATAGGTGGAGGACACGGCTGCAGTGGACGGCGAGGACCCGACGACGTTCAGCGCGGAGGAGACGTCCGTGCGAATCTTGAAAGGGGTGCGGGCGGCGCAGAGCGTCCGTCCAGTGGGACACGATATCACAGAGGGGGCGACGGTGTTGCGGGCCGGCGAGGTCATACAGGCTGCTGAGGTGGGTGGTTTGGGGGAGGGCGGATGCGCGGGTGGTGTTCTTGGTCCCAAAGTGTGCTCTCTCTCTGCCTATGCTCACGGGCGGGGGGTGTTTTTTCCTGCCTCCCTTGCTGCGCTAGATTTCTGCCAGTTGTGTCGCACAATATTTTGCCATTTCTGACGTTCTTGCACACGTACTCTTCAACTAGTCTAGAGGAGTGGATGACAGGTGTATTGTTCCTACAATCTAACAAACCAGCAAGCTGTCAATAGACACTGCGCCGTGTCCCCTGTGAAGGTTACATTTTACAATACACGACACAACGGAGGGATTCTCCCCGATATTGACCCAGTAGAGAACTGCAGGGGATGTATTGTAAAATGTAAGTTTCCTATACAGATGATTTGTACTTAGCACCAGCTGGCATCACTGATATAAATCATCAGTGCATAGACTTAAACAATACTCAAAATAAGTCCAGTACCCAGCCGGTTTTCCTCCACTCACTGAAAAGACTCCACCACATCCCGTTCGACTGTGGGTATATCTCGAATGGGTAGTCTTTCTGTGCGTGTATTTATTTTTCCTTAATTGGAAGAGTAGGATTTTGCGGACACAAGCATCCCTGCCCTGTGTAGCGGGATGAGGCTACGGCGACCTTGGGAAGTTGCTGCTCCGTCGCCTACGGAAGGGGCCTGAGTCGTCAGGGATATCAAGTGACGTTTTGTGAGAGCGGGCCCTGGTGACACCGCTTGATCAACACTCCTTCGTTACTGCTGTATGTGCGTAAATCCTCTGCTCGTTCTGTGCCTTGGTGGCTACTGTATTATCACTTCACTTACATGTAGATACAATGTAGTAGGTATTTTCAGTTCTGCTCTGCGCGCTTTGTGCACGACTGAGCGCGTTCTTGGGGGCACACTTTTTGAGGGCCAAGCGCATTGTCCAGGAACCCCAGTCTTGTGTTTCGATGTGCCCCTTTGCTTTCCCACTATGCCTGCCTATCTACCCTTGGCAGATTGGACTGCTGGCTACCGTGGGGGTGGCTGACGCGCCCGTTATTCCGCGTCCGAGAGTTGGCGTGATGTCTACGGGAGACGAGCTGGTGGAGCCCGGGGAGAAGATTTGCGGCGGTTTCATCCGCGACAGCAACAGGTGAATGGAATGGCCTTTGCTGCTGGCCTTTTGCCGCAAGAAAAGTGGGTAGTCCCCCTGCCAATCGGAGGGTCGGAGGCTGCTACAGCAGTACCTTGCCGTTGTCGTAAAGAAAGGTCGAGAGGCTGCTATTTTACAGCAATACCTCCGGTGGAGGAGATGCCAGGAGGCTAAGACGCCGTCCTGAGAATCGCCGGCGGGTCCGCTGGCGGCTCGTCACTGATCGTCGGAGGGGGGTGGGACGTCTTACTACGCCTATAAAACGGTCTACACACACGCTTGCCAAGAACCACGAGGCGTTTCCTGGCTCCCCTGATAGCTTATATCCCCCCCTCCCCCGACTGCTGCGAAAACCCGCCATATCGCTCCGTCCCGGTATTGTACGGATACCGAGGTCAATGGTCTAACGCCTACGGCATGCGTTTACATGAGTACGCCCCCCCCCCTCCCCCGACTGTTGCCCCCCTCGAACCTCGAAATCACCGTTTTTGACTCTTCCCAGAGCCACCCTCCTCGCGGCGGTGGCTTCGATGGGTGGGGTGCCCGTGGACCTGGGGATTGTTAAGGACAAGGAAGCTACGCTCAAGGGTGCCGTGGAAGCGGCCCTGGAGCAGTGCGACGTGCTGGTCACCTCCGGAGGGGTCTCCATGGGGGAGGCCGACCTGCTTAAACCCATCCTCGAGGTGCCTTACGCGCGTGTGGAGTGTAACCAGATTTTTTTGGGCGTGCAGAGAACCCGTCCAGCTGTTGGTTTTCTTGCGGTGTGGAGTCACAATAGGAGCTTGTTTTTTGTTTTGCCGCTGGTGTCTCCTTTGTAACTGTTACAGCAGACAGCCAACAGCACACTCTCCGCCTTTTTAGAGCAAACGGTAGGAGTATTCGATGCATTCGGGTACGGAAAGGCTAGCGCGGCGATGAAATCCTTTTTGGTATCCCTCTCTCTTGTTTCCCCCCCCGCCCGTAACGTTTTCCCGGTGCCGCCGGCACGGGCCTTGCGGCAAAAGACGCCGCGCTGTGTTGTCTTTCTGAAACCGTAATGTGTCTCCGTGTCCACGCTGATTTGGGTATGTTGCTACCTTTTTTTTTTTCTCGCCCCAATATTCTCGCGGACGAACGCTGCGAAAACAGTCGCTAGGGACGGTTCACTTCGGGCGAATCCGCATGAAGCCCGGCAAGCCTACGACCTTCGCGACGACGTCCGGGGGAGGCGGCGACGACGGCGGCGGCGGCCCCGCCCGACCCCGCCTGGTCTTCGCCCTCCCCGGCAACCCGGCGAGTAGCCTGGTGTGCTCGCACCTGTTCGTGGCCCCCGCGCTGCGAAGAATGCGGGGCTACGCCCTTCCCGATTGCATGCCGGCGCAGGTGCGTGCGTACCGAGCGTGTAGTCAAAGCCTAGCGGTGCAGCGGTAATAGAGGCAGGCAGGAGTGTGCGAATGGTGTCCACGGGCGCATTGGTGAAAAAAAAAGGAAGACAGTGGTGACTTTGTGTCTACGGTCGGGGGGGTCCCCGTGCGCCTGCCCACCCTTTGCGTGCTTGCCTCTGGTGCCGCATCCCGTCCGTGGCACTGTCGAAGGCGTCCTTTGCCACCACTTATGTACCTCGATTGCCCGCGTGAGGAAGACCGACGCGCCTCGTAGTGAGAGCATAACGGTGGAGGAGTAGGTATGTTTGTTTTTTGGCGTGCTGCGGGTTTGGGGAGGTCGTGCTCCCTGGTCTGTGAATCTCTGGTCGCACTCCCCGTACACACGGCCCGCCCGTCACAAAAAGTATACGCATGCCCCCTTTGCCTAAAGTACGAGCTTTTTCATAACTTGGACGAGTGGGATCGTGATCTGAGAAATCGTCCCGAAGGCACTGGCCCCGTCGAGTATGGTGGGGCTTGCTGCGGTTGGTCCTCCGCCCCCCCTCCCCCCCCCTCCCGCCGGCCCCAATCCAACAGTTAGGCGTCCCCCCTGCCCCTTCTGCCTGCCGCGTGGTGCCGATCCTTCGGGGAAACGTATCAGGTGGACGCGCGTTTGACTGCCCCCCTCCGACTAGACTCCGTCCGGCCGGAGTACCACCGCGCGGTGGTGTCCTGGAACAACATCGCGGGCCGTTTCGACGCGGCTAGCACGGGCAACCAGATGAGCTGTAGGTGAGACGAGTCATGTCATGCAACAGGCGTGAGCGGTGTGGCCGCAATTCGTCGTGGGTGAAGGGGGGCATGTAGTCGTCAGTTGTACAATACCCGGAGTGAGTTTGCACGTGTCGTTGGGTAAAAATGTAAAAATGATGGCAACAGGGGTGACCGTCGTAGTTTGGTCGGTGTGTACGGGTGCATGCCATCTTCAACGAACCGATCGGCGTCATTCTCGTGTTATGGGAAAACAAAAACTCTCGATCAAGAAGGTCCCTCTCCCACACCTCCCGAATACAACAGAACTCGGGGAAAACATGCATATTGTAGTGATCCATGATTTACCGCTGTGTGACGCTTTTTTCGCCCCTGAAATGTTTCTGGGATTCGTGGGGGATTGTCTCAGGTTACTGTCCATGAAGTCGGCCAACGCGCTCCTGTGCGTGCCCCGGGGGGAAGGCGAGCTGGCGGCGGGACAACAGCTCCCCGCTATCCTGATCGGCGAGCTGCCCCCTCCGTCGGGTGTCAGCTGCTTCCACGCGAAGGTGAAAAATCGCCGTGAGCTAAAGCGCGCGCACTTCTGAGTCTCGGTGCGCTTGCTTTGAAAACGAAAGCATACCGGCGGCCAAGAGTTTTGTTGTTTTGGTGTTGAAACATTGGTCGTGCATCAGTTCAGACACGCATGTTGTTTGGGAAGGTGGAGACACGGACACGACTCGGTAGGGTGTGTGTGTGTGTGTGTGTCGTGCTGCCGTTTCCCCCGAGTGAAGACAGCGCCTTACGTCAAAAGAGCACGACCTAGTCTGGACCCCCCCCCCCCCCCCCTCTTTACGGCAAAAAAAACTTTCCCTTTCTTGCTGGAACGCTTATGCGATCGCCTGTGCGTGTCACACACAGCGTGGTGCTTGCGGTCAGGAAAGAGCATGAGCACGACCCAATCTTGGAACCACCCCCCGCCCTCTTCATGAGAAATAAGAAGCACTTGACGACCGTTTTTGCTCGAAACGTTTAGGCGGTCGCCCTGGCTACGGGAAAGACACCATCGCCGGTGTCGCCGCTTGCCGCCGCCGGGGAGAACGGTCCCGGTGGCGGCGGCGGCGGCGGTCCCACGGGGTACGTGTCTTTCCCGCCCTCACCGCCCGCAGAGCGCAAGAAGGGGGGGGCAGTGAACTGTTGCGGCAAACGGAGGGGGGGGGGTATCGCCGCCGGCGCCACCTGGCGACTGTGGAAGTGCGTGTTGCCAAGGGCACAGCAATCATGGACACACGCACGGGAAGGGGTCCGGTGAGAGAAATGGGCTGAATAACGTGCGCGGTATATTTACCAGACGAGACTTCGAATGTCGGCATAGTTTTTTTTCGCAATTTGTCTTTATTTTGCACAGGTTGAACCGGCGAGTTGCGACGGGTTTGGTGGTGGAGGGAGTAGTGGCCCGGATGACCGCGATTTCGTTGTTTCGAATGCGGGATGCACCCGGCGCGCTGTTTTTTTGTTGTTCCATGCTATTGACGTTACGTGCGTCCAATCTCTGTGTGCGTGCGTGCGTGCGCAAAAGCAAGACTTGTGTACTGGGTCAAGAGCAGGGCCTACCTCATCGTGATTGAGCACTCGCTGGCTTCTGAAGAGAGAGCCCGAATCGGCTCTATTATCCCATCGGCTACAATCGAACGTGTGAACGGGTGGAGGCACATCCTCGCGCTCACTCGCTCACTCTCTCTGCCGCAAGGAGAACTGTAGTTGAGAAATGTGGATCTCTCGTCTCTCCTTCTCTCTTGACGCCCCCCCCCGCTTCTTTTCTCTCTCGCATTCGTTTTCGGCTGCTTGTTATCTTTCTTGCTTACGCAGGAGGCGCCCGCAGGACTCACGTGAACGCCTGCTTGCTGACCGTCAGCGACCGCGCCTCGCAGGGGGTTTACGAAGACCTCAGCGGCCCGGCCATGAGGCAGGTCCTGGAAAACAAGGTATGAATACGAGGAGGCCTCCCCCCAGCCCCTCCCGGCCGCCCTCTGGACATCAAGGCACTCGAACCGGGCAAATGCCGCTGTCTCTACACTCACGCCCGGGCGCTTGTCACGGCGGTTGGCGGACCCGATGTTTTGGGGCCGTGTACCGGGAGCAATGCCGCGCCCCAAGTCTCAGGGTGCTCGCTTGCCCCCCCCCCCGCCCCGCCCCCCCCCTCCCGGTGTTTGCCACCGGGGTTGGGTTTTCGTCGCTTGGCAACGACGTTGTAAAACAAGCCCCCCCCTCGGTGTTTGCCATTGGGATTGGGTTTTCGTCGCTTGGCAACGACGTTGTAAAACAAGCCAATTCACTTCGTGAACTCGGCAACCAGGCAAACGTTTGTTTTTTTTTTCCTCTGTTTTTTTTTTGGCGGTAACCATAATGGTGGTCGAGTAGATCATGTTGTGCGGGGTGGAGAACCCTCACTCCGCGCAAGGGGGATCGCACCACGTTGTGTTAAAATGGTCAAGCATCTTCGAGGCAGTTACACAGTGCTTACAACTGTCACTGGAAGTGAAAGCACCAGGAAATAAATTAAGTCATACGCAGCTGTCATCCGTACGCAAGGAAGTAAGCACAAGATACCGAACACACCCTTAGCAGGATGCAGCTCACCCTTCATGCGACTCGCCGAATACCTCACGGCGCTTCGCGCTTGGTGATGTGAGAGCCTGGTCCGGTGAGAACCCGGCGTGCTCCGTCCCGGCTTTGTAGGGATGCGAGGTCAATGGTCTAACGACTACGGCATGCACGACTATGAGTACACACCCCCCCCCCCCCGCCCCGCCCTAACCTTCTGGCCGTTTTTGTTGGTTGTTGTTTCTTTCGACAATCGAACAGGAACTGGCTTTTGACACAACCGTAGTGGACACCCTCGTTGTTCCTGACGAGCCGGAACAAATTCAGGTTTGTTGTAGTGTAAGGAGGGAGCTTGTCAGTGGTAGGGAGGTTGTACAACAAGAAACTGGCCGTGCTAGCCCCCCCCGCTGCGACCGTCACCACGTATTTTTCCTCTTGGGTGTTTTAGCCCCTCCCTCCCCACGTGCTGTTGTCATGACCGGCATGTCGTAGTCTAGTTTCACACGCTAGCTCTCCTACACCCCTGATCTCGATGGAGTTGTGTCCATTGACCAGTACCTCCCCTTTAACCCTTACCTCGATGCCTTTGTTTGCTTGAATCGGTAGCTCTCTTCTAACCCCGATTTCGATTACTTCGTTGCCATGAACCGGTAGCTCTCCTCTAACCCGATCTCGACGGATCTGTTTACGCGAACCGGTGCAGGCGGCGGTGAAGAAGTGGTGCGACGACTCATCGATAGACCTGGTCCTGACTTCGGGGGGCACTGGGTTCGGGCGCCGAGACCTCACGCCGGAAGCCATTCGCCCCCTGCTTCACAGGTCAGCAATGTGTGACGTGGTGACGGTCTTCTTCGCGCGAGAGCTGCTGCCGTTAACCGCTGTGGTGAAAGCCCACTCGCCACCAACGGTTTCCACTGTCTCCTTTCCCCGCCCTCCCCCCCCCCTCCGGTCCCTAGAGAACGAAGAGCGGTGGTATGAACAAAGGCGTTGTACAAAACACCAACCCCCGATATAACTGGCCGCGTTCGTCCCGCCCGCATTATTCGTTATTTTCCTTTCCCGCTACTGCTGTGCTGGTCGCCCGTGTGTGCCTGCCCCGCCGCAGGGAGGCGCCTGGCGTCGTGCACGCGATCTACCAGGGCGGTCTCAAGTTCACCCCGCTGGCGGTGCTGTCCCGCCCGGTGGCGGGCACCCGGAACAACACCCTCGTGGTGACCCTGCCGGGCAGCGTGAAGGCGGTGAAGGAGAATCTGGGGTCGATGGTGCCGCTGCTGCCGCGCATCGTGAACCTTCTCAAGGGGAACCCCTGCTGAAAAGAAGGGGTTTCGATTATTACACAAAAGGAGACGGATGATGCTGCAAGGGTCTGCTGTGGGTGCGTGGTGTTTTGCCCGGAAGCACCATCGCACCGGTGCGCGGACGGAACGACGACGACGACGACAGCGACGACGCCACGCCCGATAATGGTGTTATAAGACGCCAGAAGAATCGCGCTCGCGTTCGTGGAGTCTTCCCAGCTTAAGCGCGCGCGGGGTGGGGCGCGACGGGCTCGCCAAGGCGGATTTTGGCTCATGAGCGTGCAGCAGCGTTTGTTCTGGTGCGTTGCACGGGGAGGGACGGCTGCCGGGGATGTCAAAATTTCGAGGAGCAACGGATTGGGGTGGGCTTGGTGGGGGGACCGTGTTGCCGTCCCTGTCCGTTTCATTGAAGAAGTGTCGGGCTTGTGTTAACGTGTGTGTTGGGGGTGGTGGTGGTGGTGGTGTGTAATCTCTCTCCGGTTATGGCTGGTAGAATAAGTGTCCTGTGATGTATCATTGCACGATCTGTATCTAAGTCTTCGTGTCGCAGCAGACAAGCCGAGTGACGTACCGCAGGGAACGAAGGGCGCTTTGGCGCCAGCTAAATCAGCCCCCCACGCCGAAGAAGAGTATATATACTGTGTATGGTGCCTTGCGCTGAAGCCAGCTCTCGAGCCGTCTTTGCCGTGGAATTTTTTTTTGTCGACAGGTGTAAAAAGCACGCGCATGCCATTCGTGTAATCTTAATTGTTGGAAGTAAATACAGCGGAGGTTTGTGGTTGACGGGGTTTCGCACTTTCGCGCGCAGTTTTGTCCCCAATTAGACCAATTTTTAATGCATTTGTGCGCTTTCCGCCGAAAACGCCAGTACACTTGAAAAAGAAGGTTACCATGGAACAGCCTGGAAGCAGCACGAAAACTTCCGCACTCGCTATAATAGGGTTGGAACAGCAGTCTGCGGGGAAGGAGCACGGCGTATAGTGTCTCGAAGGTTGGCAACCGCGTGCCTTTCGCAGCAGTCAGCGGTGTCGCGGGGTTGGAGCCAAGTCGAGCGACGGCGGAATCCTCCTTCGGTGTGGGAAGGTGGAATGCGATGCCCCTCTCTCCCTCCGCAGGCAGCTTCCGAAACCACCACGCGGCAAGAGCTTGCACCTGTTTCGTTTTCCGAACGACAACGATACTAGCACTTGGCTTCCGCCCTCATAGACAGCTCCTGCATGCCCGGGCCTACTCCCGCTTCTATCCTGGCGGAACCTCCTGCTCTTTGCGACTCGGTGCCATCGTCGCCACGGTATGCATCGTCGCAACAGCTGACGGCCTCTTTGCTACCCCTCCTGCTGTCGCTGTGTATTCTAGCCTTGCTGCCTGAACCGCCGGGAGTATCACCATCACCCGCACGACCACTACCATCCGGCCGCCGCTGCTGCTCCGTCCGCACGCCAGCAGCCCCGTCTTTCGCACCATCACTTAGATTCCTACTACTACAGGCGACGACTGCCGCTCCGCGCCCGGCAAGCGCGTCGTCTGGAGCAGCACCTGCCGCGGGCGGAGAGGGCGATCTTCGACTACGGCCGCTGCTGTTTCCACTGCTGCTACTGCTCCTGTCGCTGCGAGGACACCGGCGGTTATGGCTTCGGAGGAGACGGCGCTCCCCTACTGCTTCACGACTACCACTCATCATGTCGTCGAAGCTTCCAGCTCCATCGTCAAGACGGGAACCGTAAGTGAACGACCGGGCGGCATCCACCGACGCCCCGTCGCCGTCAATATCGTCCTCCCCGTCCTCCTCCTCCTCTTCGTCCTCCGACCCCATCCCTTCGGCCGCGAAGTCCGAAACAAGCGCGATGAAACTGCAGCCAGCCGTAGCACGAGGTTTTGAGAGAGCACAAGGGCATCGCGCGGGCGCCGACAGAACCGAGATCAGCACCGCAGCCAACGGAACGAGACAGAGACAGAGTTAGGGAAAAGGGACGCGGGGTATAATCGGTGCGAAGAAAAGTGCGAGGATGCAAGCATTGCAGCAAGAACAGGGCCCGGCCAAGACTGACGCCGCGTTTCTTTTCAACGACGGCGCTGCCGAACATTAACAGTATTCCGTAATGGTGCTCGTGCGCCTGTACGACGTGATAATGCGCCAAGCGAGAACCACCACGTGAGCATGCAGGGTGCATGCCTCATGTAGAATGATCGAGATGTAATGTGTCCAATGCCTCGATACTTGACCTAGGGCTTCAAAAGGCAAGACCCGCATAATGAGCCCGCCTGCTTGCCTTGAGAATTCCCACGAAGAGATGAGGGTGTGCATGAAACAGTCCCCCCTGCCACCCTTCGCCCGCATTTCCTTCTCGCACGCGTCCCTGAGCTGGGTCTCCGTCAACCCTTCCGCTTGCAAAAACTCTACACACGCACGCACAAAAATAAAAGCAGAGGGAGGAGGAGAGGAGGAGAAATGAGGAAGAAGGAGAAACCTTTCGAGTGGAAAATACGTAAACGCAGCCCCGATCGGTGGGATGGGAAGGCATGGCCAGAAAACCTTTTTCTCGTTGTACATATTTCTTGTTCTGGAGCAACATAGCGAGATCGCGCCAAGGGTGGGTGCATTTTCCCGTCTTGCCGATGTTTTCGCTGGTGCATACGCAGCAGCAGCCGTTTGCGTATGCATCTCACAATGACCCTCACAAAAGACGTGATCCGCCTCCCTTCTTGCAGACGGAAGGAATCCCGAAGCACTAGCAAAGTTTGGCTGGCGAGCACCGTTTGGCAGGCGACCACAGCTAGATCTCGAGTACCGGGCGGCCGGCCCCTCGTCGTGCTTCTCGCTTCGGCTGGCTATCTACACTGCCAACGGCGCGGCGCGGGGCACGTGTCACACGCCGCAAGTCACCTTCGAGATTCGACTGCAAGATCTTCAGGAACTCCTGGTACAGCTCGTGGACCCGTTGGCTGAAGTGGCCGTCTCCGTCTTGGTACCCCTCCGCACCCTCTCCCCTCGCCATGCTGGCCTCCTCTTGCTTCTCTCCCCCCAGCTCCTCTCGCTTGGCCTCATGCTCCAGCCCTTCTTGTTCTACCGGCGACCGCGAAGAGTCAACTCGGCGGAGTTCGAGCACCAGCTCCTCGGAGTGCTGCTCTAGGAAATCGTTGAGGTTCTGAGGTGTTGAATTACACGAGAGAGAGCGATAGAGGGCGGGGGGGGGTTTTTT